TCTTTTCTCTTTTTTGGCCGTGTAACTCGGCGCGCTTGTACTTCTCTTCTGGACTCCTCTACATGTACCCTCGGCTCACAAACGAAAAGTACGTTCGTACAGAGGATTTTTTTTTTTTTTTTTTCTAATTTTTTTTGGGTGGTACAGAGGAGTTTAGCATGGCCCTACGCAAGGATGACACGCATAAATCGAGAACAAAGTACGTCCTCGACGTGAGCACACCCTTGAGACGGCCGGCTTTCCAACCCACGCATACGCCTGGTCCCTCGCATCGGGCCTCGCTCCACCACAATAACTCTCCAAGTGTGCAAAATGAGACTGAATCCTCAGCTAGAACAAAATGGGGGATGGGACTGGCCGGGAGTGCCTCTCTCAGCCGTATTTGACCGCAGTATTCATGTGAGGGACGCCGGGCGCGTTTCCGGTCTAAATTGAACAATGGAAAAGTACACCGGCATATTTTTTGTCCTTAGTGCATGTGGAGAGTAGTGGAGCCAGGCCAATGGTTGGTCTGTTGAATTCAGGGAAATGGATGAAGTCTTAGACTCTTGGAGCCAGAATGTCCCTGCCTGCACAGGGAAAAGCAAGTGATAAATCATCTACCTGTCATACCCACCAGGCGTTCAGAGTTTAGGGTTTAGGGTTTAGGGTTTTGGTTCATGCCAGCATGTACTTACCTAGCCACTGGTTAGAGATCATGGCCAATGGTCACTCCTGCTTCCAAACTTGGCCGAATGTTCAAAAAGATGGGCATCAAAAGGATTGGCAGCAAAAAGAAAAGTAAAAGTGCTTCGGGACAAATGTTAACGATACGGAGAAGATTAGCATAGGCCCTGCCGCAAGGATGACACGCACAAATAGAGAAATGGTCCAAAGCAAAAGAAAAGTAAAAGGAACACATCCCATCATGTGGCTGATTGGTACACCTGTGGAACTGTTGACAAACAGAGTTCGAATCAGACAGATAACAAATGCTGAATTCTGAATAGGATGATCAAACTACAAGTACTTGCGTGGGTGGCACTTTTCTCCTGGGCTGGAAGGGCAGAGAGTGCTAAAAATAGAAAGCAAACCGGTGCGGGCCTCCTTTTGGCTCGGGCCGGCAGCCATTTTGCTATCTCTAACCACCGGTAAGTTTCCCAGGCATTTTTCTAAGACAAGCGGTCCATGCAGACGCATCGTGCTGGATGTACCGGGGTGCCGTTTCGCTGGAAATCAATCCAGGCAGGATGGGTCACATGCAAGGCCCTATTTGCTTGGGTAGGTTTCCAGTGAAACAACACCCAGGTGCATCCCGCCCAACGCGGCTGCATGCATGGTGCGTCTTAGATAATTGGTCGGGAAACATAACGGTGGTTTAAAATAACCATGGGCATGTCAGCTCGATGATGATGATTATACTTCAAGGTCGTCGCCCAGCCATTTTGTTTTCACATGGCGGTTAAACCACCAGTTCTTTGGCCCAGCTATCAGCCTGGATAAAAATAGAGTAGAAACGCTTCTACTCGAATGAATTTGGGCGCTCCTGTAGTGGCCCGTACATTTCATCAAATTGTGGTTTGTGAACAGGCACGACTTTAGGAAGTACTGATAGCTTAACCTTTCCCCGCTTGAAAAACAAATACACGGTTTCGTACAGTCGCATCTTTCCAGGGATAGGTAGCGTATTGAAATGGCTGGCAGTGCCAGCCAAAAGCAGGCCCACGTTTTTTTTTTTTTTTTTTTGTGCAGGGCGAACTTTGGCTCAGTGTCAATAGTTGGGCGCAGTGGGCGGGGTACTGGTGATTTAGCCCCTCCCAATTCGTCTCCCAGCTGTTTTGTTCTAACACAGTCGCACCCCATATTTTGGGGCTTGGCCTACAGGATCGGTCTGGGTGGTGGTGCCAACCAAACTTTTGAGCTACTCCGTTGTTGTTTTTTTTCTTCTTTACAGCGCTGCACAAATCCGCCTCAGGAGTTGAGTTTCTCACCTATCATGTTTTGTACGCTCAACAGCTTTAGGGGCTCTGCCTACGGATCTGTCTGGTTGGAGGCGCCTGCGAATTGAATTAAATAAGCTACTATTAATTGATAAGACATATTTAAGAAATCCATTCTAAGCAAATTACAATTTTCAATTCAAAGTACTTTTATTTGATTTGTTGTGTAATTGTAATATACATATTATTATATATTGATTATATATGATTATATATGTTGTAATCATCAATGTTTTTTATGATTACAACATATTCTGATTATTATTATATCTTATTATTTATCTTATATTATATTTCAAGAATTGCATTTTTTAAGTTATATAGATTATCTTGCATATCAAGTATATAAATCATAATCAACAACAGATTAGTTTTATAGATTGAACATCTGACATCCGCCACGGGGTAAGCAACTACCTTAGTAATTCCTCTCTTCGATTTTACCTAGGAATTAGCAGATTRGCAATTACTTCCCCCCGAACGTAGCATACAACTTTCACCATACTACGCTCTCCATAGGGAATTCAAGATTTGGATGTCCTCGTCTATTATTAAGATTTCTTTTCAAGTTCAAAGAATATGAATCCTTATCTTGATTTCAAACTCTCTTTACTTTAGTGAATTTTTGGCAATTCCTAAATATTTCCCTACTACCACATTTTCTTAACATATTTTTTCTTTTCGAAAATTGCTACAGTGATGTGACATTCCCACTTGAATGATTTATACCAGCACCCCAGAGCCATTCATCCCAGAATGTCGCAACTTGTATACCGCCGTGAATTGTGGAAGTATTTGTGGTTTGCGAACCGTTTTCAAATGCGATCTCCTTTCATTTCCCTTCCCAATCCCACGTAATGAGGATGCAGATAGGGACAACCACCATTAGGCTAAGTTGTGATGGACTTCCACCCCCCTCAGAAGGACGAGCCTATAATTGGACGCCCTCATAGGGGGGTGTGATTGCAGATACGATGACAATAAATTGGATTAGCGTCTTGGCGTTGTCATAAACCACCCCTTATATTAGGGTTGAATAGTCTTATTAACCGAGTCATGGATGAACTTTAGTGTTGGGGTGTCCCATCATGGGCTTCACTTTTCATCCCAGGTCACTTCACCTATAGGTTAAGTGATCCACCTCTGTGATGGCAGGTCATTGGTTTGATTTCGAGTGATGGGCAATGAGCAAACATGATGTATCACACACACACATCTCAGCACACGGTACACACGGTCACACTTGATGACAATCAGTGGAGCTTTGCATGAGCTTGAGGTCATAAGATGGGAAGTACAAAACATCACCTCCCTTACATAGCTTCAGACACATTTTTCGGCCACATGTCAGTTGTGGCCTCCTGAGGGGATACCACAGATCTCGGGGACATAGCCCCAGCATCAGCGACAGCCACAAAACGAGTTCCGTTGAAAGAGGATGACTAAATGGCAAGCGAGGATGCTCAAATGACTTGCATCCGGAGGCGCACGACTTGCGCCCGACGACTGTAACAGGCTTGCGGCGCCCAGGGCATGACCGACTACTCTGCTTCAGGGAGCGGAGGGTTTGGGCCGTCTCTCGTAGAGGAGACATATCTACACTGTGATCCGGAGGAGTATGCTGCCACGTGTTATCAGAATACCACATGTTATGTTGGTTGATCATTGGCAGGCGATTAAGGCTGTCGCAGTTGATGAGGATACAAATCTCAGTTTAACAGAGAAAATAAACACCAGCGGGCAGCCATAGCAGATTCACGATACTCGGGGCTTGACCAAAGGCTTTGCTACTACTTAGTGGAGGGGAGACACGAGTGATATCATATGTCAAGTGTAAATACCATGTGTTTATTCCTTGATATGGTAATCACCTGGGGATAGTCATATTGTTCCGGGTAAGGAGGAAGGCGATACCGATTTTGACAGGGAAATACGTGGCTTGACATGCGTTCATCTAGGTTCAACCGATTGGGGCAGTAAGAAACATAGTAGGAGATTTACTCTCAGGGGAACAATCATCTTCAGGGAGCGACATTGACAAAGGTCTGAGGGGTCTTCTTCTACTCTAGGAAGTGGCGTGTAATACAATCCTTCTCTTCTACTCTAACTAGTGGGGAGGTGGGGGGAGGAGGGTAGGGGAGACAAAAGTAGTTGAAGAGGCAGTCATCACAAGGAACGGGCTGGCGAAAAAATGAGTCTTCAAATGGTAGAAACGGGTGATGTTCTGACAATCTCTCATCACTCATGCCTTTACCTCTTTTTTACCCCTTGACCCTGATATCGTTTGTTCTCATTAGCCAGTCCAATCGATTTGAGTATAATCCAATTTAATTTAATTCTAGAGAATTAAGGAAAAACATAAGTCGAAGTTGGTCAACGTCGATTTAAAAAAAAAAAAAAACGAAGAATCAACGCTGACTTTGTCATAGTAGAGGAATTGTTTAATTATTTTAGTTTTTTCAACTAATCTACATTTAACAAGTACATTCTCTAAAAATCACGTGGATTATTCATCAACAAAGAAGTCACAGACAGGCAGATAGTGCATTGATGTTTCGAGGAGTTATGCGGCACATTGCGTGGCGACAACTTCATACTCCTATCAAGGCGGTCTTTCAAGCGCGTTCATTACAGAAAGCAATGCATAAAACTGCTCAGAAAGCGTCACAAGATAGTCTCTCAATCTCGGATGATGAGATACTAACTTCTGAAGAGCGTGCAGGTACATAGGCCTTGTCATTGTCAGTTTTGTGTGTGAGAATAAATTCTTCCAACAGTTTTGTGATTATCAGTCCTATCTTTGCACAGACTCATATCAAGGATGGAGGAGAGAACACAACAGACAATCAGCCCAAACCAATGGACCTGTGTCAGGTCACCCAAAAGACCTCGCGGCTCTCTGACGTTGACGCAGGGACAGTAAGCCAAATAGATAGCTTACATGGTCATCCACATAGCAAAAGGGTTGTGGAGGAGATGGATAAGGAAAGAGGGCAAATGACGAGGATAAGTAATGGAGAGCAAGGGGAGGGGAGGAGGAAGGCATGAGGGAGAGAACGGAAAGATGGGATGAAGGAATGATTGGAGGGAGAGCGGGTAGGGGGAGAGGAAGAGGAAATGGGAGACGAATTAGTCAGGATGGAGAAGGGGGAGGTAGAGGAGGCAGAGAAAGGATGGGAGATCATGACAAAATGGAGGGTGGGGGAGGCCAACGGGGGCAGGGACGTTTGGTAAGAGCTCCGACAAAAGGTAGCACAAAAAATCAACCTGGTTCTTCATCGTTCCATCAGACTCTTCCTTCTAATCCTCCATCTACTTTGACTTGGGCACAAAAAGCCAGAGGGTTGTTCCAGGAAAAATCAATTGAAATCAAGAGGCACGGTCCGCACGCTCAATCACTGCAAATTCTATTAGGAAACATTCATACAGCAAGGGTGTTTTTTTTGTCTAAGTTTCTCAATCCATCAGAGACCAAAGTCATTGATTCTGGGGGTGAGAAATCGATGGTCAAAACTTATCTTATGCATAAGCTTGCGGAACGTGATGCAGTGTATTAAGCCCTTGCTAATAACTAGGTATTTTATGATGACGCGGCTTATAAGTCAACAAACAATAAAATCAAATGGATTAATAAGATGCTTGCTTATTTTAAAAGAAGTCGGGAAGCAACATTTGAGGATTTCCTCATCTAACCAATAAATTTCACGATTTTCACAGTATTATGCTTGCACCTGACGGACACACAAATAATTGAGCAATGGAAGAAATTACGTTGTGACAGGTCAGAAGTCCAAATTTACCCATGGTCGCCAATACGGGAAGGACCAGATGAGCGGCAAGAACAACTGATGGAAGAACATTACTGGGTGGATTTTAGACACATTTCCATAGAGATTCAAGCAACGTTCATCTGTGACTTTACAGCGACACATGAGATTATGGACTTTATCGACCCTCTCCAGGCTCTCCCTGCGTACGTGGCTCGCAGGGATGACTACCTAATGCTAGCTTTGAACCACTCATCCAATCAATCTTTTATTATGGATGACGTCATTCCGTACAGGGTGGGTGGTAAAGAGTTTCATATCCACATAACACATAAATTGTGGTCATCGTGCTTTAGATGCAAGGCATATGGCCATTTATGCATAGACCCAAGTTGCTCTCAGAACCCCGTCCAGAAAAACAGACTTACGGGGAGATTGATTCGGGATCCTTTCCGTAATAATTTGTGGAGGACTGTGGATCCAGGTCACGAGGGTTGGGTTTACATTGAGGGTACTGCAAAAGGTGGGGAAACCAAAAGATGAACTTGGGAAAGTCATGAGGTCCCTAATTGGGACACCAAGCCTTCGGATTCCTGGACACCAATAGAGGTTACTATCAAACCTCTTCCAACGGTAGCACAAGGTAAGGAAACCATAGATGGTCAGACATTGCAACCAGAAGAGGTATAGGGAACTCATTGTTACAGGGAGAGACCGCGAATGTATCTCACAAACAGATTCCAGGGGGACAATTGCAATGGAGGTCAAAGGACAGAACACTTCCTAAACCCCAACCGCAACAATACGTAACTCTAATGAGTCTGACAGAGGCGTCTACGTCTTCTTGTAACACTTCCATGAGACAGATTGAGAGTGATGCAAAATTGGAAGCACTAGTAGGAACCGAGGGAAAAGAAAAATCAGTCTTTCATCTTGGGATGCTCTCAATCACTGGAATTACAGGTAATGAGTCTGTTCAGTCGAAGCAAGTTTCTTCGGTCGGAATGAAAGGCACACAATCAGATAACAGTGATCTGCCTGAGTAGTCTTTAGTAAGGAAAAATGTGAAACTCAAAGCAAAAAAAAAAAACACATCATAATAGGAAAAAAAAATAAAAATAAACAGCAACGACAAAAAAAATAAAAAATAAAATTCTTGGACTGTCAATGATCACTGTTGACACGAATTTAGTCCTCCCCCAGGTACACAACAGGATTTGGAAGGGATACGGGCAGATCTGACAGGTCAGGTGCCAGGCAAAATAGATAAATGGTTACTAATTACGGGTTCAAATAATGCAAGATTGCCAAATGAGGACAAGGATTATAGGGGTTCCTCACAGATGTCTTTCCAAGACCCGTTTCAGGAGGCGTTTAGATCAGCCCCTATGGATATTGATTCCACATATGAGGGCCTATAAGTAATTATGGAACCAACAATTGATCCTTCCACTTCAAAAGGAACATCAGATATGGATGCCTCAGAGCAGGGTCAGTTAACCGATGAGCAGAAAACTTGTAAGTTGGTGGACTGGATGCTGATGAGATTGAAATACAAGTCTGGTGCTGCGACCGCTGAATTTTGGGATCTTTTATATATCCCACTTCTAGATATTTTGAATAGTAGCCTTAGTTTTAGGAAAGTAATTCAGCAAGGACTTCCGGAAGGAGCTCACTGGACGGTGGTGAGTTACTGCGTGTTTTCAATCTTACTGAAATTATTTACTCCTCCCCCCTCAAACGTGGTTCAGCCTTGTAGCGCAAAAAATGTACAGGTAGTAAGTCATGTTACACAACTTGCATCCCAGACACTTTAGGTCAGCAACGTTGGAACATGAGGAATTGAGGGAGGGGGGAACATTACAGATCAATCTTTGTTTTTCAATAATGAGGAGGATACAAGGAAGGTTGCAGATCAGTCTCAGACACCGAGTAATGTTGTTATGATAAATATTAATGATCTATCACAAGTTCCTTGTGGGTGCATGCGTGAGATGGAAGGGGGCGAAAGTGTGGTGGATCAATCAGGGGTTGCTGAGAATCTGTAACAGTCAAATTCGGTATCAACGTTAGTCAAAAAGGTCCTTTCCTTTATTTATGATTAAAAAAATAATAAAAAAATAAATAATAATAATAATAATAATAATAATAATAATAATAATAACAATAAGAAGAAGAAGAAGAAGAAGAAGAAGAAGAAGAGGAAGAAAAAGAAGAATAAAAATAATAATAATAAGGGAGGGGAACAAGAATCAGGCAAACGTCAAAAACTCAGACATACACTGGAAAAAGGTCAGTCGAGCCGTATGCTCTCCTTAAAAGGAGATCTAATTATACCGTTTCGGAAAAAAAGAGGGAAGTGAGAAATCGGTCTTTCTCTTATAGTTGGATTCCAATGGGATTTTACAGGCATCAGGTCTTGAACCGGCACCCTCTGCCACAGGAACGAAGTCTCGTAACCACTACAACCCTTGGAGGTGTTATAAAAACTGGATCGATACCCACCCTTGAGGACTCAGCAACACATGCACACTCCGTTCACATAGCACACCAAGGCTACTATACCTGGTCACCACGGCGGGACTTCAACTGCCCGCAGATTCCACAAACGCATTTCACAATTGGATTCCAACATGATTTTACGGGCATCAGATCTTGAACCGGCACCCTCTGCCACAAGAACGAAGTCTCGTAACCACTACAACCCTTGGAGGTGTTATAGGCCATGACTAGTATGGGGTTGTAACACTCCGTGGATGGACCACCTATGTGGAATATCAGAATGGGGGGAATAGGATTTTTAAAAGAGACTCGATTCATTTTCTAGCAAAAAATTATGATCCGGGTCCTCAGACCACCTTCACTTATATTGGGAAAAAAACATTTTTGGCCAAAAGGGACACGTTTGTTCGTTTCGATGACAACAAGGAAGCTAGACTTAAATGGCATCCTCACACATCCTTGTTGGATCTTCAGATGTTGAAGATCAAGACCAACACAGTTTGGTCTATCTCGAAAGTGGCCTCCTTTTTATTTATTATTTTGCGTAAAGGAGTGTTGTAGGCTACAATAGAACTAGAAAATATTAACTGGATTCGTTTATAAACTCTCCATCGCTCACTCTGCTTAAGGAAGGGGTAAAATGAATGCACTAAAAACATTGTATGATAATTTTTTTTTTTTACGTCGAACAACATGTACAACAGATTTGAATCTCAGATGCAGAGAAACGTTGTTCCATCATGGAACAACTTAGGGGGGTGGGGGTAAATAATGGGCAAATTTGATCTGCATTCACGAAACGCACCTCATGGATGTCCCGGCCCACACCAGAGCTCACAATCTGATTTGGCCTTTCCCCAAGCTATGTTCCCATGCACAGAAAAGTGACTTGGGAGGAGTGGCCATTTCAGCACCTTTTCAAACTAGGGCTGAAATTGTGTATTGGGAAGCACATAAGGAACAAGGGAGATGGATTGTAGCTCTGGTAATGTCGGAAATAAAGATTGTCTGTGTTATGAATGTTTATGGCTCAAATAATATACACGAATGGTTACTTTCTTCTAGACGATTCATAATCACATACTCGATGGTATACCTCTAATCGTGGTCGGGGATTTCAATACAGCCCCTAACCGGGGGATGGATCGATGGAAGATCCCCTCTCCCTGTCCTGCGTATATTGAGAAAGATAAGAATACAATCAGTACATTATGTGTCACTGAGTCGGATAAACTTTTTTATTCTTTGAGACGACTTCATCCTCAGGAACGTATTTTCACTTGCATACGCCATGGTGACTCCTCACACATGTCTAGGTCACGCATAAATTTGATTTTACTTTCAGAAAACCTAGAAAGGGTTATTCAAGGAGCAACTATCTTCCCTCAAAGTCCGTGACCAAGAGCAAATCACAAGATGTGTATGATACTGTTGTTCTTTCGTAAAAAGCTGGACCAGGGAAAATAATTTTATAAGTTGAATATATCTCTGCCGACTATTCCTCAATTTAAACATTATGTTGAGGATGTATGGAAAATTCTGGCAATCAACCAAGATTCAACATGACTCTTCTATTGAATGATTTAATAATGATTTAACCTTTGTGGCTCGAAAACGTCAAGATTATTCAAAAATGTTGGCAAAAAACAGATATAAACAAGAATTACAAATTCAAAAACAAATTTTGCATTATGAACTACACGATTCAAAGTTCAATTAACAATAAAAACTGACATCAGTAACTTAAGGAATCAATTTTTTTCCTTTGCACAACATCGTTGGCAAGGATATTTAATTAGAGAGAAACTTACTAAACATCAAACTTAAGGACAAATGGATACTATTTTCTTTGCCATGGCCAAATCTCGTACCAAGACGGCTGTTATAGAAGGGTTGATAGATCCCACCATTCACCCCCATAATGATATCCCCATTACATCAAATGACAGTCTTAAAACAACCTATGATTTCGTAAAAGGATATTTACATCAACCAAAATTTTTTTGTGATATAAACGAGGATAGTAAGATGATCACTGATTTTCTAGTTCCCCTAACGAAAACCCTTTCACAGGAACAAAGAGACTTAATGGAACAACCAATTTCAGAAGAAGAAATTTGGATAGCCTTGCTTTAAATGAAAAAGGATAAAACACCGGGCATTGATGAAATTCCAAAAAAAATTGAAAAATGATGGGACCGTTTTTTTCAAATAATTTAATGAAATTTTATAACGCAGTTCAAACCTCAGGGTATATGGGAAAATTTGTTGGGAAAGGGATTCTAACTCGTCTATATAAAAAATAGGATAAAACTCTATGTTACCTGATCGGACGTCCGGGACCCCCCTCACCGTCCGGGACTGTCCGATCGGACAACCGGTCGGCCGTTCGTTGGGGGCCCTACGTCCGATCGAAAAAAAAAAGGGGGGGGGGTTAGGACACAGACTTGGGTGGTGCCAGGGTGGATTGCAGGGACAGGCGAACCCGGGGCGCCGACGGGAAGAATTGTTGGAGGCCGGTAGGGCCTCCAAAAATGAAAAAATGCCTAATCCGGGCTGTCAGATCTGCGAGATCGATTACCCAGATTGGGCTATTTTTTCGGAATGGGGGCAGTGGCATTCTCCCCCACACGTCTCGGCCCGCGCGCTGTCGCCGGAGTTCGGTGTTGCCATTGTCGAACTCCGAGGTCCACGAGCGCAACCCCACGCGCCATCGCCCGCCCACATCAGGTGAACCACCTTCCCTTCGTCCACGTCCTCCTCCTCCTTCTCTCCCCCCCTCTCCTCCTCCTTCCGCTTCTCCTATCTTCCTCCTTCCGCTTGTCCCAGCTTCCTCCTTCCGCTTCTCCTCTCCTCGTCCTCCTCCTTTTCATCTTCCTCCTCCTCCTCCTCGTTATCGTCGTCCTCCTTCTCCACCTCCACCTCCTCCTCGTCCTTCTCCTCCTCCTCTCCTTCTTCTTCCTCTCCTCCTCGCCGTGGCCTCCTCCTCCATCGTCGGACCCTTCTCCTCTTCTTCCTCATCATCCTCTTTGTCCTCCTCCTCCTCCTCCTCCTCCTCCTCCTCTTCGTCCTCCTTTTCCTCCTCCACGTCCTCCTCCTCTTCTCCCTCCTCCTCCTCCTCTTTCTCCTCCTCTTCTTCCTCCTCTTCCTACTCCTAGTTTTCCTCCTCCTCTTCTATTTCTTCCTCCTCCTCCTCCTCCTCTTCTTCTTCATCCCTTAAGTTCTCTCCCTCCTCCTCCTCCTCCATCGCCGTGGCCTCCTCCTCCTCCACCTCCTCCACCTCCTCTCCCTCCTCCTCTGCCTCCCTCTCCTCCTCCTCCATCGCCATGGCCYCCYCCYACCCGACTTTTTTTTTTTTTTGTCCGCTCTTTTTTCAATCAATCAATCAATCAATCAATCGATCGATCAATCGATCAATCGATTGATTGATTGATTGATTGATTAATTGATTGATTGATAGATTGATTGATTGATTGATTGATCGGACAAAAAGGAGGACGACGAAGGAGGAGGAGGAGGAGGAGGACGCGCCGACAATGGAGGACGAGGAGGAGAAGGACAAGGAGGAGGAGGAGGAGGAGGAGGAGGAGGCGGGGGAGGAGGAAGAAGAGGTGGAGAAGGAGGCTGCCACGAAGACGGAGGAGGAGGAGGGAGAGAACTTAGAGGAGGAAGAAGAAGAAGCGGAGGAGGAAGAGGAGGACGACGACGAGGAGGACGAGGAGTGGGAAGAGGATGAGGAAGAAGAGGAGGAGGAAGAAGAGAAGGAGGAAGAAGAGAAGGAGGAGGAAGAAGAGGAGAAGGAAGAAGAGGAGGAGGAGGAGGTGAAGGAAAAAGAGGCTACAACGGCGGAGGAGGATGAAGAAGAAGAAGAGGCGGAGGAGGAGGAGGAAGAAGGAGAAGAAGAAGAGGAGGACGAGCAGTAGGAGGAGGCTCCAATGGGGGTGAAGGATAAAGAGGCTGCGGCGGCAGCAGTGGCAGCGGGGGGGAAGGTGGAGGAGGAGAGATGACGAGGATGGGAAGGAGAATGAGGAGTAGGAAGAGGCCCCGATGATGTTGGAGGAGGAGGAGGAGGAGGAGGAGGAGGGGGCCGAAGTGATTGGTCACCCGATCACTCCGCCGGCCCTCCCCGCTCTTTTTGCAATCAATCAATCAATCAATCAATCAATCAATCAATCAATCGATCGAGTAAGTGATCGATCAAAGATCCCATCAAATCGATTGATTCGATAGGATCTTGATAAGTCATGATCCTATCGAATCAATCGATTCGATGGGATCTTCGATCGATTGATTGATTGATCGGATTTAAATTAAAAAAAAAAAAAAAAAAGCCCGGAGGAGGAGGAAACATTATCAATTCGGTGAGGATGGGGAGGAGAACAACGAGGAGGGGGACAGGGATTGGCGGGACGAGGAGGAAGAAGAAGAAGCGGGGGAGGAGGATGTCGTGGCGATGAAGAACGATGACGAGAAAGACGAAGAGGACGAGGAGGGCGACAACGAAGAAGGAGGAGGAGGAGGAGGAGGAGGACGCCCCGACGGGGGTGAAGGAGGAAGAGGCAGCGGCGGTGGCGGTGGCAGCGGGGGAGGAGGTGGCCCCAATGATGGTGGAGGGGGAGATGACGATGGGACAGGGATTGGCGAGACGAGGAGGAAGAAGAGGAAGCGGGGGAGGAGGAGGCCGTGACAATGGAGAAGGACGAGGAGAAAGACGAAGAGGAGGATGACGGTGATGAAAGAGGAGGAGGACGAGGAGGCCCCGAGCATGGTGGAGCAGGAGGAGGAGGAGGCCCCGGCAGGGGTGAAGGAGGAAGAGGCAGCGACGGCAGTGGCAGCAGGGGAGGCGGTGGCCCCAATGATGGTGGAGGAGGAGATGATGATGGGACAGGGATTGGCGGGACGAGGAGGAAGAAGAGGAAGCGGGGGAGGAGGAGGCCGTGGCAATGGAGAAGGACGAAGAGGAGGATGACGACGGCAAAGGAGGAGGAGGAGGCGGAGGAGGAGGCGGAGGAGGAGGCGGAGGAGAAGGACGAGGAGGCCCCGATAGGGGTGAAGGAGGAAGAGGCGGCGGCAGTGGCGGTGGCAGCGGCGGAGGAGGTGGAGGAGGAGAGACGACGAGGATGGGGAGGAGAATGAGTAGGAGAAGGGCCCGACCATGGTGGTTGAGGAGGAGGAGGAGGAGAAGGAGGAGGAGGAGTGTGAGGGGGCCGAAGTGATTGGCCACCAGATCATTATGCCGGCCCTCCCCGCTCTTTTTACAATCAATCAATCAATCAATAAATCAATCAATAAATCAATCAATCAACCAACCAATCAATCAACCACCCATGAGAATGAGTCTGTGTTCCCTCTCAAAAAGAGTTACTTTTTGCAGTTTAATTATTGGTTTGATATTAAGCCAGGGGAGGATACTGCATGCTTTTTTGAACTGTTCCCCCCCTCGGAGCTAGCTTTAGTGGAACTTCAATGGTTTGGTGGAGGGGGGGCAAACAATGAAGAATGAATCCTCATTATCAGAAGGGATATAACTGCTAGATGTGCATGCCCTTTATGGCAGTCTTTTCAAGACTGAAGAGGTGGTTTGATCCTACTGGTTCTCAATAAATGGCAGGCTATCCTCGAACAAAGCACACCGGAACGAGAAAACAAGACCTACCTAAGCTAGCAAAACACTGCGCTTTTTTTTTTTTTTTTTTTTTTTTCCCCGGTTTACTTCGTATGTGGGAAAACCTATGTAATGAGGTGATAAGAGCAGCCCGGATAAGTAGCCCTAAGCGTCTAAGGCTCCATCTATTGGTGGGGAGCTGCACCTGCTGGAAATCGGGTCCAGCGTCCCTGCACAATGATGCGATGTGTATCAGCTGGAAATTGAGTCCAGCGTCCCTTTATAGTGATGTGTGGATATGACGTACTATACATCCAATACCATCTGTATATGTTCGTCAATCAATATATGTCGTACGGAGGGAAAACCCTATCCACGATGTCTACCGGATCGCCGTAAAGAGCAGAGGCATTGATTACGTCCCCACTCAAGGGAAGGATTCAATTTTGACCTCCTGCCCATACAGCCCAATCCTATCGATCAAACCAGACATATGTGTTTTTTTTTTTGTTTTTTTTTTTTTAAAAGGGCGACGGTCTTGAGATATATCCACAGGTGACCGGCCCTAGGTAATTCAAGATTGTTATGGAAGTTATTATTGCAGATTATATGTCACGATCATGACTTATTGAGCTTCCTTATTGAGGTTTTGTTGTGACAGGTATGTTGAGAATTTTTTTTGCCTCTGGAAATATCGTGAAATTGAGGGTCTCAACCCTGATAAGCATCGTAATTATGAATGTCAGCTATGATGATTCTGACTAAGAACTCAACCTGAGAGCTCTTTTTATTGGATGTGTATTGAGTGTGTCCCGACCGGCCGCAGCAGAACCTGAGCAGCCACTTCCACTTGGCCCAATGCCACCGTATTGCAACGGGTTACAGGGCGGCACAACTCGCCCCAGCCAGTTACCAGTGTTGACTGGCCGTGGCCACCAATCCTTCAGGCCACTGAAAGTGACGGCAACGGGAAAAAAACCCAGCACCTACGCAGTGCCGCTCAGGCATGAAACCTACTGAGCTAGCCGTCGGGACATGCTATGTGAATTTATCCCTAATATGATGCCAACTGGGTATCTCCCGATGCATCAGGAGACATTGATTACTTTCCAACACACAGGGAAGGATTGACCTCCTGCCATCCCAACCAGCAAGCAGCAACACCAAAAACCGTAATCAACCCCAAGCTAGGTACTCTTGCTCAATCAATAGAACACAATTACCAAAAAGAAACTCATGTGATCGAGCAAGCAATTAGGGTTAGGAAACCTGCTAACCCTTGCCAGACAGAATCCAGTCCCCTCCCCCCGTACCCCACCCCCACCCGCGGTAAAACTCGTGTGCCATGGCGACGCAAATCCGCCAGCACCACCAGACTGAGTGTCATCGAAGCAGCCGCCCTTGCTCCCGATGTTGTTGTTGCTGATGCCGATCTTGCAAGTGTAACAGCAATTTCGTCAAAACGAACTTTTTTTTTTTGAACGAAATTGAAAACAAAAAAATCGGCCCAATTTAGGTCGATATTTTCAGTTCCTGAGGGTATGGCGTTCTGAAAACGCCCTATCCCTGGATGCAAGCTAAGTCCAGATACATCCAAGGGGTCTGGCCTTTTAAGGATGCCGGACCCTCAAAAGCTTGAAATGTTCACCTAAATCGGGCTAATTTACGAGGTTTCAATTTCGTTAAAAAGATAAGATATGTCCGTTTTGACGAAATTGCTGTAACAGTTGTGTTGTAGTTATTATATTTTCTCCTGTTGTTGTTGTTGGTGTAGCCATCATCGTTGATGACATTATTGTCATTGTTGTCGTCTTTTCTCCTGTTGTTGTTGTTGGTGTAGCCATCGTCGTTGATGACATTATTGTCGTTGTTGTTGTCTTTGATCCAGTCTTCAGTGTTGTTGTTGTTGTTTGTGGTGTTTCCACTGTTATCACTGGGGGGCAACCAATCACCCACCCATCATAAGCCGCCGCTATCTGTGGAGAGGCTGGAAGAAGCTGCCGTTCTTCAGGCCCTCCGTGCATGTAACCCTCCTCAAGCGGCGGTTGGCTTTGTACGCGCAACCTTGCCTGCAAAGCTGCGCACAGATCACGCCCTTCGTCGAAAATATTGTAGCAGCGCCACATCAGGGTATCCGCTTGTCGCCAATCGATGAACCATCCAGCTGAGGAGACGGCCCCTCCTCCAACGCCCAGATAACATCCAACATGCTTTGCATCATCTCGTCTTGGCAAGGGACCAGCGCGGCTGCCCCACCATCAGCCACAAGCCAATCCCGTCGCCTTAAGGTCAACGCATCAACGATATTTTGCAAACAGCGACTCCCTTCCTGAATGGTCAACAGCCATTCAGTCACGCCTTGCTGCAAATCACCAGTTGAAGCGGGCATCTCAAGCACTTAAAGAACGCACCGTCAGCTCACCGAAAAGTATACGCCTCACACCCATGTGCCGTCTCCTAATATGCCAGGTGGCAAATCCACCATCACCTCGGCGAGATGACCAGGCGGGCACCAGGATCACCAGAGGCAGGCAGCTATGGTAGCCCCGCCACTGCCCCAGTCTGCAGAGTGCGGCCAAGCCTCGCCGGCCGGTCCACAACGCAGGTTAGCACGTGGCGCTAGTGCATCTCGACTGCTTGGGCCTCTACAGTCTCGGGTACTGATACGAAGACCCCAAAAAACTCAAGGACTTCTAAAAACCTCTAAAAACATTTAAGAAAAAGAGAAAGGAAAAAAACGAAATGTCCGGACGGGTGGAAACCTCACCAAACTCGTGTGTGTGATGCACCAGCTTACGTGCATGGACGAGCTCGTGAGCCCCTTCCTTTTCTTTTAGTTCTTTCTGGATGACGGGGGTCGATCTAATCCAGTTCCAGTTCCAGTTCCTCTACCCGCTCCAGATTGCACTTTCGGCGGATGGGGGTGTTGGGTCCAAGGTGTCTCGGTCGTGATTTTCGGCCTCTAGCTTTTCACAGGGTTTCTCGTTGATGAGGCCCCAATGCATGGGACACGTCGGCCAATCTCGACTTTCCGTTTCTGCAATTTTTGGAATTTTCCTTGTATTTTGTTGTACTCTTACGTAGAACTTTGCACGCCTTAGCGAGCGCGCTCCAAATTCTTTCTCCTCAGGTTTTACAAAGGTTTGACAGCCTTGAGATATCATCATCGAGTCGACTGGCCCCATGTAATTCAAAACTAGTTCATTGCATTCACAACTAGGTCCATCAAGATTCTAACTTGGGTCTGTAATTCAACAGTTCATGCGTACACCCAGCTAGGCTAGGCTCGTTGGTAATACAAACAACTTCTTTTTTTTTTTTTTTTTTTTAAACCAAGCACTTTATTAAAACTGTTTCAACGAGGCCTGGGACCTCGCAATTCAACCCGGATGAATCATACTGGCAGCATCAGCCAGCTTCGCTTAAGCTTCAGGTGAGTATTTAAAACTAGGAACAGCTCCGGTCCCAGGGACCTCTGTCCTGATATACTCCTCTGAGATACAAACAACTTTTAGCTGACTCAGATGGCTATTTCAAACTTCACACCCAAATTTGCAAAACAATTTCAAAAAGGAAATAAACAACACTTCTCTAGGGCACTCTAAAAAACCTGCTGCTGCAAAAAAAAAAAGAAAAAAAAAAACCTGCTGGCAGCTGCGGGAAACAAACTAATACAACCACCATGAACACCATTTTTTTTTTTTTTTTTTTTTTTTTTTTTATTTGGAGCATTTCTCGATTTATGCGTGTCATCCTTGTGCAGGGGCCATGCTAATCTTCCTTCTCTGTATCGTTCCAATTTTTTAATGCCGGATGTCCCAAAGGGCTGAACACTCTTTTTACAAACACGCACAAAGCAACTTGGCTATTTGCAAAATTTAAAAAGCAATGATCACCGACATTAAAAAAAAAAAAAAAAAACCTAAAAAAAATCACAATGCTGAGATGAAGACCCCCTTCACGCCTCCAACCATCAATTACAACAAAAATAAAATAACATGAAATAAAATAACAAGAGTAGCTCTGTGCCCTCACTCGTCTCTGTGCCAGCCCAAATGACCACCCACTATACACTCTACTCTATCCTATGCCACACTGGGTCATGCCACAGAGGTCCATGCTGCTTCCACTCCTGCTGATGACAGCGTGAAGCATTTATCATGCTGCAACTCCTCCTCTATGTCCACTAGTTGAGTACACACCAACTCTTTCCTTCTTCATGATGATCCTCTTTGCCAATCATCTCCCTGTCGACAACCGCCATCTTCCTTCTTGGTGCCACACAGCTATGGTGCCGGTCTTCTTCCCCAAAAGTGCCCAACCTCCTATCATAATGGTGCAAGTCTTCTTCCCCAGTCATGGCGGCTGCTGGTCTGATGCCATACACTGCCCTGCTGCGCCTCCCCACGACCACCAATTGCGACTGGAGGCATCCTTCTCTCTCAGCCCAGCTACGACTGGCATAGATCTGTTGCCAGGCAGTGGCTCCTCCACTTCTCGGCCCCTCCCTCCTCTTTCCTTTCACAACCCGCCCCCCCCCCCCCCCCCCCCCCCCCCCTCGTACACATACCGCTGCCTGATTGGAGAGCAGCTGCAACATCCCAAGACCAACAACCAAGCTCCGGCAGCGGCTGTGCAGCAGAGGTGTCAACACAACAATGCCCTATACATACCCAGCACCGGAATCTACAATTGCAGAGAGACAAGGCCAATGCCGGACAGCAACAGGGTGGCAGACTCAAAAAAGTCTATGAATGTGCATCTTGCACCCCGATGGCCGGAAGCCGGAAGATAGCATATTCCCCTCCGGAATGGGTTCTGTAGTGCACAGAGAAGGCCTAGCCTGAATTCGCCAGCAAAGAACAAAGGGTGGAGGTGGGGAATTCAGGCTAGGCCTTCTCTGTGGACTCCAGAAACCCATTCCGTGACGATTTGCAGAACAAAGGGTGGAGGTGGGGAAAAGGAGGCGTGGTTGCCTGCAGAGACTGGGGCGTAAAAAAGCCGCGTGATCAGAAGGGACAGCATCAGCCACGGGT